AGTTCTTGTGGGGAGAAGCCATTTTCCACGCAGTGCTCCTCATGAACATACTGCCGTCCACCACCATCAGTGGGGATACTCCGTATCGTCTATGGCACCAGAGCCATCCAGACTACGCACGTTTACGCGTATTTGGCTGTGTAGCGTATGCACACGTCAACATCCCTATGCGTGTGAACAAGCTGTCTCTCCGAGGCATGCTGTGCATGTACATTGGCTTACCCGAGACATCTCGAGGGTTCAAGCTACTGAACCTCGACACGCATTATGTGCTTACGAGCCGCGATATAACGTTTGTTGAACATCAGTTTCCCCTCCTGAAATCAGTCGAGGACGTGAAACGTCTTCATGGACGACGCCTCTACCCTCATATGGGGAGGCCGATACGACTACATCTCTACCCACACTTGGGGAGGCTTTGCTTCGTGGGTTACAGGTACAGTGTGGCAAGTCCCTGTCGTACATGATGTACCCGACATCACTCCACCTGCCCGTTTGGGTGGCATCCTTCGCCACCCATCCCACCAGTCGTTCACAACTCCGACGCCCAAGCGTCGTCGAACTTTGACCTTCAATACAACGGAGGAACATTTTCCCGTCCCATCAACCTCGTTCCACGAGAAGTACAGACTGCCATACTCCGGCATGTGTGAGTAGGACAACCACCTCCACTTCAACGTCGTCACATACGACAACCCAGTTGCTCGCAATTCCGCCTCGACCCTCACGGTCTCGAGCAGCGGCGATAGCACGTGTCGTACGTCGTCCCATCTACGTCTACCACACTGGACACGGCGGACATGTCCACGCGACGGTCCAGCTCAGCTGCTGATGTCGTATATTGAGGACGCCTCAGGTGCTCAATCTCTCTCAACGCCGCAACACATCCTCCTCACCCTCAAGGACACGACTCCTTCCGAGGAGCCTAAGACCTACAAACAGGCGATGAAATCGCCAGCCAAAGCGCAGTGGCTTGAAGCCATGATGCTCGAGCTGGCAGCCCATGAGGCGAACGGGTCGTTCGAACCAGCCACCTTGCCTCCAGATGCGACACCACTGGGCATGCGTTGGGTGTTCAAAATCAAATACGACGACTCGGCCACAGAGACTATGAGACGTGTCGCTCGCTACAAAGCGCGACTTGTGATCCAAGGACACAGACAAATTCAAGGCGTGGACTACGAGGAGAGCTACTCCCCGGTCATTGCCAAAGAAATCCTCCGAACGATGCTCACTCTTGGCGCGTCTCTCGACTACGAGATCGATGCGATGGATGTTATCACAGCCTTTCTCAACGGAGAGATCGACTACGAGGTTTACGTCAAACATCCGCCTGGATTTGACACCGCGAAGAATCGCCGCGACGTTTTTCGGGTCCTCCGCAGTGTTTATGGTCTCAAGCACCCTCGCTTGTGGTACCAGACACTAGCTACCTAATTGCGCCGGCAAGGGTACACCCAGCTCGTCAAAGACCGCTGTGTCTTCACCAAGCAGATGGACGGCCATGCCGTTTACATCGGCGTCTACGTTGACGACCTAGTCATCATGGCTCCTTCACCGGACATGATGCGCACCATCAAACATGGTCTGTCATCGCGTTTTCGAATGCATGACCTTGGGGCTCTCACTTTTATTCTCGGATTCCACATTGTTCGAGATCGTTCTGCTCGAACTCTCACAATGCATCAATCCCAATATGCAACCTCGATCCTCATAAGGTTCAGCATGGAGAATTCAAAACCAGCCCCCACTCCAATGGAGTACAACCTCAAGCTGTCTGAGTCGATGTGTCCTCAGAACGATGCTGAACGCAAGTCTATGGTGGACAAGCCTTAACGATCGGTAGTCGGCAGCATCATGTATCTCATGATTAGCACTCGACCCGACCTCGCGTAC